CGTCACTTACATGGCGCGATCCTATGGCGTCATCTAACTGACGCTAAAGGAAAGCATCAGTTAGAGGACGCGGTTAGGTTCAGGTGTGGGGTGGGGGTAGGGTACACGCGATCCTAGGGCGTCATCTAACTGACGCTAAAGGGCGCCTAAAGCGTCTAATATTGAGAAATGTCCAAATGCTTCCCAAGGTGTCAGTTAAGTGACGCCTTGGGGGTGAGAATGGGCTGCAACACACGGTTGATGACGTGTAAATTACTGGTCATGTATAGCATACGACACATGTGCTGAACAAAGTTTAGGAGAAGCCAGAATGCATATCCATCGACTGAAACATACATAAGCCTAACTCTGTCTGTCTGTTTTATTTATTTTCAACAAACCATATTATAGATGCGTTTGCGTCATCAGATTTGAGATGCAAGTGCTTGCAGAACCGTGGGTGGAGAACGGTTTGTTTTTTACCTAGATCCATTTCACTGTATGTCATCAACTACCCATCTGTTCTTGTTTGACTGAAATCCATCCCTGTTTATCACTCCGTAACATTAGGCCTGTTCAGAAGTGAAGTTCACATCACACATAAGTGAAGGATCTACTCTCACGGCTTTGCTTTGGATCTGACCCACAAATAATCTCGTCAGTTATTTGGGACAACCCTGTCAGAGTTCTTCCCGACATTGAGAAATGTCCGATGAGACGGCACGGCACGGCCCCATTTGTCACACGGTGCCATGACCCAAAATGCGCCGGGCCGCAGGGATGTTATTATTTGGGCCAGTGTCTCAGACTTTATCAGGATGATTTTCTCAAGACTGTTTACAGGTGAGCAGAGATTTCCACTAAGGCACTAATTGTCTATATACTGCTCGACCCTGCTCCCAAATCACGGATCAGAGACCAAGGTTGTGTGCCATACAGAAATGAATTGAGAATGACTTTTAAATTCAAATTTAGTTTTTTAATTTGATTTGAGTTAGGATTGTAATTGGATTTTGTGCGCGCTTGGCTGCCGCTTCACACTTGATATTTGTTTTGTTAGTTAAAGTCTTTCACTGGAGGATTTTTTTTGGCATGGTAGCTGTTCCCGTTTTCCGTTTTGAAATCGTGGAGTCTGCATTTGTTTGGTTTCTGTGGCATTCGAGATGCGGTTCACCGGGTTGCTTGGTGTACCCCCTCCATGACGGACTACTCTGGTGTTACACCATTTTACTCTATTGCTTATTCTATATGGACTGTATGGCCGCCGGACATATATTTATATCTATAAACATTTGAGTATTTGTCTTGTTTATTTATGTTATGTTAATTGCAAAGTGGAAAAAGTGCTATATAAATTAATCCACTTACTTGCTAGAATTAAAATGAATTCAAATTCAATGAAATTCATATATACTACATACCATTCAAAATGTTGGGGTCAGTAAAATTCATACTTTTATTCTGCAAGGACATATTACATTGATCAAGAGTGAGAGTTAAGACATTTATAATGTTGCAAAACATTTCCATTTCAAATTGTGCTGTTCTTATTAATCAAATAATCCTGGAAAGAAAAAAAATCGATGCCCTCATCTACTCAATAGTGTTTCTAAAAAGACAGAAATCATAGACAAAGTTGCTAATGGGGCAATCAACAGGGAGCGATTTTCAGATTTCAGCCCTCAGATACCCCTTTTCCACCCAAAAAGAACTGGTTCGGAACTGGTGCTGGTTTAAAGTTGGTTCGGAGTTGGTTCAACTTGCAAACCCGTTCAGAACCGGTTTGTTTTTCCACTGACTAGAGCGCCCAGGGAACGACGTCGTTACGTCACTGTGTACGTCTTAGCTAGAAACGCTTGCAAGTACATTGCTTTAGGATTATCTCTAACTTGTGTACCAAGAAAACTTAAAAAAAATATGTAAGTCTTTTCGTTTGATATATAACGTTATGTAATGTTTTCTGATAAGTTATGTACGCCTGTCATGTGTCATTTTTTCTTTCCATTTATTTGTTCTATACCGTGACTGTTTTCTTCTTTGTTTATGTTTCAAATAAATAAAAATAAATAAATAAAAACGCTTGCGTGTTTCTGCAGTTTCTCCTGGCTTTGCGATGGTCAGAAAAGATGTTTAGAACACATCTAAACCCGCCCCAGCCCCCGACGTAAACATGACGTGCTAAAAGAACGGTTCTAGTCCAGCAAAGAGTTGGTGCCGCTTTGGAACCAGTTTTCCCGGCCGCGAACCGGTTCTTTGGCTGTCGAAACACAAAGAACTGGTTCGCGTGCAGGCACCGGCTCCGAACCGGCTCTCAAAATGCTTTGGTGAAAAAGGGGCTAGAGACACTTTAGACCAGAAAGGGCTTCTCGTCTTTCATGGTACAATGAGTGTTGCCAACAGACCAATAAAAGTGAAGAATTCCACAGGTGAATGCACATGCCTTAGGAAAAAAAAAAAATTCTGATCACATTGGCTGTGTCTGAAATCTCCACTCAAACCACTACTACCTATGTAGGGGGTATAGGGAGTAGACCACTAGATAGTAAGCTCACCAGCATAATAGAAACACTACTTTCGGATCGTCTCTCTGTGCCGTCGATTACGTCATTGTTGTCGCCTGTCTGTCTTTTGTTACCATCAGTGCAATGCATGATGGTATGTGCTTGGGATCTTAAATCTTATGCTTAAATCTTATGATCTTAAAGATCTTAAATCTTATGCTTAAAAAAAGAAAATAAATAATTAAAGTCGGTAATACTCTTATTATTCTGCGCGATTTTACTTCTCAGTGGGGGTTTAGATGTTTTACTGGGAAAATAAGACATAAATGCTAATTGAGAAAGTGATTTTTTTTTTTTGCAAAGTCAGACGGTCTCTTTCTGTCTCTGTGGGCATCTGTAAATCAGACTTGCAATGAATCAAATGTCTGGCGACGCAAGACTTACAGTATAAGTTGATAACATTAAATAAAAGGATAGAAAAATTCCCAGAACCTCAGGACTTTCTCTCTCACACACATTTATCTCCCTTTCCACCTCTCACTGTAATTTCCCTCATTTTATATATTTCTTAGGGGCATTATAAAATCATTTATCCTGCTCCCTTCCGCCCCCTTTCTGACAGAACCTCTACGGTTCTCCACATATATATTTTTTTTCATCCACAATATATATTATTCCCTCTTTTCTTCGCCTTCTCGGTTACCAGATTACTGTCAACTTTTCTCTCACACTTTTTTATCTTAAGTATTACCCTTCCAAACCTCAAACCTGTCCACTGTGCTTCTAAACACCCATTTCAAAAGAAAAATAAGAACGTGCCAATCTCTTTCTCACCGAAGATTGCTGATCTTCAACACCAGATCTCCTCACCTCCCACCTAAATCTCCTCACCTCTAAATGTCTCATGGACACGATGACTCAGACCTCGACTAAACCCTTATGGACTCTAATGTCATGACAGGGTCAGTGCAGTTGTGTTCGACCAGACCGTTGTATTTCACATGTTTTACTCAGTTTAACTGGATTACACGCCTGCTCTCCGTTCTGCCCCTCTCGGTGAAAATGAATCTATTTCTGAGCAGCTGCTTGTGTTTTACTTCACCACCCACTCTCGCTTTACTGCTGCACCATAAAATGTAATCAATACTGTTAGTCAAAAAATAAAAAGTTTCTTTACCTACTAAAAGTTTCCAATCAGTTCAATCAAATAATGAATTAGAGGTGCCCCTTTGCCTAATATGCATCCATTAGTGTAGTTTAGTTTTGTTTACTTGACCTTTATTAGTATATTATTATAATATAGCCTAATTTATTTGAATTTTTCTTCAGGATTTTGGACTTGAGACCTTCATCACTTGTTATATTAGTTACTGTTTGTTTTGTACTTTTACTTCTATTGATATTTGAAAATAAACGATTAATCGCGATTAATCGCATCCAAAATAAATGTATATATACATATATAATGTATAATATATATATATATATATATATATATATATATATATATATATACTATATATATATATATATATATATATATATATATACACATGTATATTTAAGAAAAAATATTATTTATATATAATATAAATTATATATAAATCTATATACTGTATATACATGAAAATATTTCTTAAATATACATGTGTGTGTATTTTTTTATATAAAATAATTATACACAGCACCCACATATATTATGGAAACACAAACTTTTATTTTGGATGCGATTAATCACGATTAATCGTTTAACATCCCTAATTTTTTTATATATTTTAGATAATTTTTATAAGAATAAGAATGTTACAACATAAGAATGTTGTTAGGATTTTTACTTGATCACTCAAATTCTATTTTCATTTATTTTATTATTTTTTAAGCATTATTCTTTAGAATTTTTACTTGTGACTGTGTCGTTTGTGTCGACTTAGTGTTGTTTGTGACAACACTAGGGTGAGTAATTAATGACAGAATTTTCATTTTGGGGTGAACTGAACTTTTAAGGGTATAGCCTAAATGTTTTTATTTATTTATTTGAGTTATGGTTTGTTTGATATGAATGCCTAACAAATCTGTGAGTCACATTGTCTTACAAATGACATAACCACTCATTTTAGCAGTGTAACATTTAGTTAGAAATGTATGCATAAACTCTTAAATATGTGCCCGCTTTGAAATGCTAAATGACCCCTTAAGCATCGATCGACAGACTTGAGACATTTCTTAAAAAAATCATTTTCCTTGCTCTTATAAGCTCTGTTTCTAATTGGCTGCCTTGCTGTGTAACACAACGCGTAGGCAGAAACTCTGGATGCCAGTGCCACACAACAGCATCCTTCACTGGAGACTCGACTTTCAATTTATTCCAATAGAGTGTGATGTTAACTTATTAGCAAGCTATCGACACAACTCAAATTGAATAAAAGTGTTTGCAAAAACTTAACAGCAACTTAAGTGATCATGCAGTGTTAACGCATTACCTTTTGACCGCACTAATTTTAAGGAATTGTCTCTCCACAGGTTCTTTGTCTCTGTGCGTGTTCCTAGTTTCGTTGGGATTAACGGTGTGTGTTGTGTGGCTGGTGGCACTATGCGGGATCTGCGGATGGTGCCAACGCAAACTGGTGAGTGATTTCACTTCCTGCACAACAATAAGTGTACAATTGACATCTGTTTCTGAATAAGATTACCCGAATAATAAAAAGGTAGTTGCCTTTAGTAGTGCCATTTAAATGGTAGTAGTGTCTTCTGTTTAATGGTTGTTTGTCAATTACAGTCTGACAACAATCAATGAACATCTCAAAGATTATACATTTACATTATTACAGCTCCCCTCTCTGTTCCGAATATGTCGTTTTCGGTGAAGCCCCTCCTTCCGAAATACGAAATGTGCTGTGATTGGTTAGCTGTCCCAGTGTGTTCTGATTGACAGTGTTTAGCATGTGTTCTGGAAATGCCCCGCCCCTCCTGTGAGTTCTGCGCTAGTCTAAATATAAAGGATGGCGGAAATTTTAAACCATTCGAGCCTGATTCAGACCCTGACAATATTAACAAACAAGAGGATCATCCCCTTTGGAGTGAACTTTGAGCTAACTTTGACTAACCTTGCAGTTCTTTTGTATGCTCAGAGAGCAACATTGCAGATTAACTAAAGTTTAAAAAGTGAAAAAGCATAATAGGACCCAATTATTAGCATTGCAGGAGGGGGGTATGGCATTCCCTTTATTTGTGTTTACATAAGACGTAGATCCAGATTGCCTTTCAATAGCTGTAAATCTTATTTTCTGTCTGGATAATTAGGTGTTGAGCCTGTAGTTTTCCCCGTTCAGCCTTAGCATCTGCAAAACAAGATTTGCCATTCAACTCATGCAAAGCAATTCAGCGCAAGGCGACCAAATGAGACTGAAATCATGAGGGAAGAAAGAACATGTATTAAGGAAAAAAGAAATAATTAGTCTAAATGATTTATACATAAACATGAAAATGTGATTACAGACCACTTTTTGATTAATAGCCAGTTGATAAATAACATCCACATACAAATTAATCTCCTGTGCTCAGTTTAATTAAATAACCCTCTTCCTAAAATAAACGGATCACTTATTATTCGAAATGAATTAATTACCTTTAACACATTTAATGTGTCACTTGCTCTTTTGCCTGGAAGAGAAGCCCGGATGTGAAGGCATTGTTTCACAACCATTTCTAATACAAATCCACGCTTTTCATTCATCAACCAGGAGTGATGAGTTTTGAGATGGTCAGCACGGGCCAGACGGAGGAAGTGAAATCAAGGAAATGAAAGGAGGAGTGAGAGGCAGACGGGAAGTCTGCAGGGTGGCTAAAAAGAGATTTCAAGCTTTAATTACACTCCGTAATGGCTTCCCTACCACGTGCCCGGCCTGCGGGCATCCAACGTCTTACTGTTATTACAATGAGGGATTACAAACACTTCTCATTCTGTGCAGTTTTTGCTTGTTCTATTTTTGCCATTTTCATTCTTGGTACTTAATGTTTTAATCGAAACCTGAACCCCTCCTCCTCTGTTTTTATATTGTATTAAGCTGTTCGGTGACTAACATGACACCTTCATAATCATGACATGACATATGTTACGAATATGAAGGAAGTTTTATTCATGTTTGTGACAACTGTCATTAAGTGTCATTCGCTCAGTTATGACATTTTTAATGCAAATATGACATTGTTTGAGATGTCTTTGTTATGACACATTGACATAAACCAATACATCATAACCTGTCAGTGTCTTGGTCACGACAACTTGACATTACTAGACAACACAACCTGTCATAAACATGACATAGAAAATTAATTATCAAACTTAAGAAACCACCTAGCTTTATTGGTTAACATTACATTAAACTGTCAGGTTGGTTTTGACATTGGCTGTCATGAAGCCATTATAACTTTTTAATGACATATTCAATTTGTACCACTGTAGTTGAGGTCATGAAAAATATTCATGACACAGTTATGATGACCTCATGACAATGTTAAAGCCAACCACATGACAGTTTAACTTAATTTTATGTCAATTTGTCATGACAAAGACACTGACAGGTTATGATGTATTGGTTTATGTCAAGATGTCATAAAGACATCTTAAACAATGTCATATTTGCATTTAAAATCTCATCATTGAGCGAAAGTCACCTAATGAAAGTTGTCTTAAACAAAACATGCATAAACCCTACTTCATATTCAAGATATATGCGGTTAGGTGACCATGAAATGATTTGCAAAATATTTTTTTGTCATCAAAATAATAGTGTTTTCACACTAGAGCTTTTGGTGAGGACCAAGTGCTTCATCGAGGTGAACAGCTGGGAGCGTTGTCCTAGAAACTCTGAGAGTTGTTCTGCAAAACCAAGTGTGAAAACAGCCACTAAAAGCTGTTTATCGTTGCAAAATGTATAAAAAACATGGTGTTAAAAAAAAGGACAATAGTTGAAATCTCTTTAACTATGAGCCCTTAAAGATTCCCTGTGGTGAAAATCAAGTTTTTAATGTTGTATATATGTCTGTTGTTGCTTTTATTATCCTTTAAGACAAACCATGTGCAAATTCTTCAGTCACCATTGCTGAGGATTTTCTCTTGAAACTGCAGTGTACCGAAGACAGTCACAAAAATGTGTTTGAAACCACCTCTGTTTCCTACCATCACAAACATGTAACAAAGCCCTCAACATGCGAAGATTTTCCACACAAGAACACCTTTAAGCAGGGACAGAAAAAATCAGGTATATTGCAATATAGACCTTATTCAGAGCGGCGCCATGACAGGTATGAAAGTGAGGCTGTGAGGGATAGACTTACCGTGTTTCCAATGGCATCCGCTGTAAAAAGCTGAATAAAGCTCCTAAATTTTTCACAGCTTATATTGTCGGGAGTTTTTTGTCAACTAAAATTTCTTGGAAAGATATTTTTCCAATGTTTCATGAGCAGAACAAAACGAAAACACATTAAATAACAGTACAGCCCTATCCCTCACAGCCTCGCTTTCATTCTCATTAAAAATCAAAGATGGCGCTGCCGTGAATAAGGCGTATAGTGGGTGAATTGAGAATATGATGTATATTAAAGGAGCTGTATGTAAGAAATTTATTTCAAATAATCATAAAAGGGCCATGCTAAAGAAATCATGTTCATTTCAAATACTTATATCACTGACAACAGTAGTCCAGCCAGGATATTGTCATTTAAAGAATGAAGTTGCAGCCCTCAACTGTTGTTGATGTTGTCATGTTGTGTTTTGGTCTGATACTCCACTCGCCACATATCTACCAATGTCTACCAAGTGTTGCAGCATCCGGGGTGCCAGCTCTGCTCTAGTTACCACTGCTGCAGATACAAACGTGTCGGATAAAAAAAATGTTGGATCTTGCAGCCTATATGGCAACCTCAAGTCAGGGCAGGGGGTTGAATGTGATTGCAGTACCAGTTTTGGCCACAATCTTACATACAGTACAGCTCCTTTAAGATGTTATGATGATATGCCTTTCTATTCTGTTCAAAGTGTTTCTAAGGATGCTAATTTTTCGAAGGCAGCTGTTTGACTCTGAGATGGTGAACGGGAACATGGCTTGTGTGACATTAGTAACACATTATTAGCTGTTTGATAACGTAGTCAAGCCAAAGGCTAATCATAAAATTATCTCTATGTGTCTGAAGTTGTATAGCATTACATCAAACTCATTACCATTCTAATACACCAACTTGTTGACAACCCTGTATAATTCACTCTTCCTCTTCTTCTTCTGAGTCAGTTTATGGTTAAATTAAATTCCCACATGTTTACACACACCATTGTGTAGCATTTACTACAGTTGACCAAGTGGATCAGGTAGTCCGAGCTGCTGGGATTGAGTGGAGTTTTGAGTAGTCTCATTTGCATATTCATGGTTGATGAGTTTTAAGGGGTGAAATTATTGACTGTGTTGAAGATTTTATTATTTACAAAATAAGTCATTTAGCTATATATTAGTACACCATTATTTCCTCTGTGGGTGTGAATTTGACTTGACTTTTGGAAGCCTGAAAGGCCCGAAAGCTGAAACAACAGAGAGTGCTATTTCTGTATATTCCGCATTTTTATAATCATTTAGGTCACATTTGGTTGGAAAAAAGAATAAGAATAATAACAATAATAATAATAATTAAAGCTGCAAGCAGCATTTATCGGTGTTCAAGCAGTTTAGGCCTTTAAGGCCTTAAAGCACAAAAGCATCAAAAGGCATTCAATTTTATTAAACATACATTTATCCAGTGACATAATAGATGGAAAACACCATTTACAGCCAATACAGGCAATTAACCATTGCAAATACATGGTTTTAATGCTTTTTAACAGATATAGCACCATCTATGGTCTGATCTCCATGAAACTGTGCATGCTTCTTTTACATGTTATGACACATATGCTCATCATTTTTTTTTGAAGTTGTGAGTTTTCCTTTAGGATTTATATACTTTTGGGTGCATTTTGTCACCTACATCTTGGATACCCTTGGGGTAAGCTAAAACATACGAAAAATTAATTTCAAAGTGAACTATCCCTTTATCTCCATTATGCTTGCTTACACCAGCAGGGTGCATTACTGTATCTCCTCATTGGCCTTCCTAAAAATACCATAAGACAGTTGCAGCTCATACAGAACGCTGCTGCCAGGAGTCTGAGCAGGACCAGAAAATATGAGCAGATCACACCAGTCCTCAGGTCTTTACACTGGCTCCCAGTTACATTTAGGATTGATTTCAAAGTATTATTACTGGTATATAAATCATTTAATGGGTTAGGACCTCAATATATTACAGATATGCTCACTGAATATAAACCTAACAGATCACTCAGAATTATCTCATTCACTCATTAGAATCACATGAGCTAGATGTGACAGTTGTCAAAGTAAATGTGACAGTTGTCATAGTAATTTTGGTAAATGGACAGCATTTATATAGCACATTCATAGACCTAATGGTCACCAAAGCGCTTTACATATTGCCTCACATTCACCCATTCACACACTGACGGCGGTGTCAGCCATACATGGCACCATTCAGCTCGTCGGGAGCAGCTGGGGTTAGGTGTCTTGCTCATGGACAC